ATTTTAGGTAAACACTATTTAAAAAAATATATATATACAATTTCGATTTTGCCCACTATAGTGTATAAGTAAGTATACTTTCGTTAAATTTTGTCCTATAACAAACCTTTCTATATAAGGTAATAACTTGTACTTTCTAAATAATATAAATTTCTGTAGCACTAATTACGCAATTTTCTACAAAAAACGTAATTTAATGAAAAAATTATTTTTTTTGGTTTTTTAGTATTTCTGACTTAAAAATATAAGAAATCAGAAAAATTATGTACATCAACTGAAAGATAAACTAATCATATTTATTTTGACATTATTAGTTGTTTAATCGGCTATGTAGTTCATAAAATATTGATATTTCAAAATATCGAAAAATTTAACTTAATCTCGTATATCTTCTTAATTCTTTAGTCGCGGTAAATAATTTTGGTAAGCATGAAGAGTTCTATCCAATTACATTTTTGGTTTGTCTATAGCTAAAAGGTCGGTATTCTACACTTTTAGTAAAAATTTAATATTACATTTGACATCAGTAATGAAAACGGAATGTCAATCATCTGACACTGAAATTTGACGACAGTCTTTGACATGCACTGCGGTATCGCCATTTGGTCAGTTTTTAAATTGTAGTTGTCAACAACACAGTTGTCAGATGAAGGCAGTTTTTGATGTCAGTGATTTTGACCTAATGAAAACCAGCCTTTAGCAGATACACATTTTGCTAAACAAAGGTGTTCTGAAAGACTTCCCTTTTATGAAAAATTATGGAGCCAGCGAACTATTTAAGGAACATTTACTTTCACAAATTTTTCGCCAAATCGAACCTTAGTTTTTGTGTCAGTGGTCGGCATCAGTGTTGCCAGTTTAGCCTTTTTGAGCCTAGATCTAGCTTTTTTCTTTGCCGTTTAGCTTCGAAATTTAGGATTCAGCTGCGTGGCTTTTTTCTAGCCTTTTCTTATTTTCAAACTAGCATTTTTTAATGACAATCATCCACAATATTTGTAGTTGCACTAAATTATTGTTCCGGTTCAGTTTACTTGACCAAATGTTAAGCGAATATCAACTGTTTATACTTTAAGGGCCAGTTTTTCAGTACGAGTTTAACTCTGTTTGTCGTTCAAACTAAGTTTAAACTCAGTGTGTGTTTCAGTCAAATTTAAACGTGGCTCAAACTAAGTATAAACGCTCAATCTGGGTGGGTTAAACCGAGTTTAAACTATCAGCTGTTAAGTTCTATATTTGTAGTCAGCTCAAAATTTAGATGAAATCTTAGGAACAAAATTAAAATTGTTTGCGCAATATACGAAAACAGATTTATTTGTATAGCGGCACATACATAAATAAGCGAAATGTTCATACGTTAGATGAAAATTGTGCACCAGAAAATTAACAAACGCAACTTGAGTTGGAGTTTACTTGCATAGCGCAATTTGGTCGGGCAACACATGCAGCGCCTTACAAATTCTTTAAATTTCCGTCTATAATCTTTCAGAACTTTAAACGCGATGGTATCAAAAGTGAAGATAAATCGCTGAAATTTTGTATCTGGATAAAGAAAAAACAGTGTTGCCCTACAAAACAACCAAGCTATGAAGCGACCTTTAACTCGCATCGAAAAACTGGTCAGTAGTTTAAATATAGTTTAAATTTAACAGTTTTCAAGTGTCCCTATAAAGCCAGGAAACTCCGCACCTCACGGGAATGACGTCAAGCACTACATCGTGAGGGAGAAAGGTAGTTAATCGCCCCTTCATCGCCTTTGCTATTGCGTCACGTGCTGTCGACCATTTTTCGCTGATTTTTAGCATAGCCTCCACGAATGGCTCAGACGTGAAACTCTCGCCAGATATGTTGCGAAGCTTGCATCTGGTACTGTCAAATCGCAAATCCTCCGCAATAGTCGCCTATGGGTTCCGGTTCGTGTTTGAATCGGTGAAGGTACCCTGCAGTAAATCGCGCTAGTTCAGAACTACTACTATACTTCTAACGAGCTGCATTCGATTCTCCTCTACAAATACTACCAGTTAATTATAAACTGAAACATGAGCAACCAACGCACCAATTTTTGCATCGTAAAAATAAATAAAAAATTATAAGAGAGTCACACTTTTATTTGTGAAAATTTCCCAATTTGATTTCTGAAATATATGCATATTTGGCTAGAAAATATGTACGGTGGTGCTTTTTTTGCATTTACATAATCTACACAACATATGTAACCTGATTTTTGATAATAAACCAGCGAAAATTTCGTGTCCGAATAAAAACTGGCGAGTCATGCGAAAGTCCGAACTAATTGAGAATTGCCCATGTATATACAAAAGTAAGTAGTTTTCTCTTATTAGGTATTTTTTTTTCTCTGTGTAGTTATCAACATGAATACGTACGCATGCTTGTGAAACAAGTGTTGCTGTATAATGTAGAGGTTTGTGTCCTCGATGCACATCCTTTTTAAGATGGAAGAAAAGTCTTTGGCTGCACTAAAAAAAAAGCTCAAAGAACGTAACCTATAATTTGCGTATGTGTTCTTTACGTTCTCTGAAATTCGAAATGGCCTTTCGGAATTTAATTTAGCGCAAAAACATTACAGATTTTGTCGCGTACTGGCAGAACTTTGGTTTCCCCTTCGTTCTATTTACCTATTTCCTTTCACTCCAACCGATAGGAGTGAAGTTAATCGACACTCAATTGTGCACACATATCGCTAATTTACTTCAATAGTGTCATAACTAAAAATTAAAAATAAACTCAAGAAAATGACTTTAAAGTTTTGAATTTACATATACAGTATATTTTGCTTTGCTGCCTTTATGCTTAAATGCACCTTTAAGATACCTACCCCAAAATGCGCATCAGAGGCGTTATTTGTAACATTTGTAAGGAAACTGCTCCGATAGATGCATTCAACATACCTGCACATTGGCGATACCTGCCTTAAAAATTGTGCAACTAGTATCAATTATCAAAGAAAGTATTACGTTTACCTGCACTGGCCCTACAATTACCTAATTTTACAAGCTTTTATTTATTTTGCTCATCTCGCAGAACAACGAAAATGGCTATCAATTTATGTAGTTATATAGATAGTAAGATACCATTCGGTAAAAATTTCGCTTGCAGTAATTTCTACGTGGTAAGTGCTCCTCCATTACTTGGTTTCATAGGGATTCGGGTACCTTCCTCATTGAAGTAGTAAAGAAAATTCGCTTAAGTACCTTTCTCGGTTAAGTGCACAAGTTTTTCGTACAGAGATGGATATGCAGCTAAGCAAAATATACTGTATGTACTCCCATAATAAAAATGAATACTTATTTTGTTCTAGTGGGCTACATATGAACCAGCGGTATTTTCTGCGTACTTACATAACTCAATATTTGTAATTTTTGGATTATGACACTACTGAAGTAAATGAGTGATATGTGTATGTATGGACCTGCGTAAGAGGTAGTATGAGCTCTAGTTGAGCGAAGCAGGTGTTTGTCGGTGGAGCGCCACCCCAACGGGGAAAAACGGTGCCGATCAATAGTAAGGGTCTGATTATGCATACTTCGCATAACTTCGCACAACCATTTGTACCAGAGCACAAAAAGTGTAACTTAAGAAAATGTGAAGCAAAATCTAAACTCAACAGATCGCTAAGTTTTTAAAAGTTCTGCTAATTTCTGGGTAATGGAATACATACAAAATACACACAAAGTACATACGAAATTACATTTGAAGTTTATGCGAAGATGTGCGAAGTTATGCGAAGTATGCATAATCAGACCATTAGAATCTAGGAATGAGAGATTAGGCGAAAGACAGTAGTAGGGGTATCACCTTTTTTCTCTTTTTTTGCGTATTATGGCAATGGCCAAGTCCATGGTGTTGTTTCTGTGCGCCGTGGTGGTGACCGCTAAAGCACCTAATTCGCTTATAGATTTATCGGGCCGACGCCAATTTATCGGGCACCAACAACACCGGCGCTGACACTCCAACGGTCTGCGTACCAGCGCGTAGGTTGTGGCCTGGCAAGGCAACTGCGGCAGTGATCGGACTTTAAAAAAAATGTGTGTGGTAGAATCTGGAAAAAAATGTGGTAGATTTAAAAAAAAAATTGGTAGATCTCAGGTTTTGGATCAAATTTAGTACAAAAATTTAAAAAATTCTGCAGGGTTTCACCTAAATTGTAAACATTTTAATTAGAATAAAAAAAGTGCAAGATTGGAGTTGCAAAAAACTGCGCCTAGTTTTGGCAATTTTTTTCCTTGACAGTGTAAAGCAGTTGCTTCTATATCAAGATATTTTTCGAACATATTTTGAGAGATTTCTGCAACCGTTCGGAGTGCTGCCAGCGTTACTTTTTATCACATCTCGATGTACCGAACAAATGTGACACGTTCCAGCAACCGCTACGTGGGATTTGCCGATTTTACAAATCCCCAGGAAAAAGTAAAAAATGTTTTAGGAACTTTAGACGCACTGAAATTTGCTAATACTTTCACAAGAATCGCTATTAATTCTTTTTATAAATCATATATTTTGCAATTTAACACAATAAAACCACGTTTCCTGTCGAAAAATTGATTATTGAGAAAATTTACTATTTACAGTTTATTTTATCCTCCCATTCGGCTTTGTTGTTGGTGTTTAGTGTTGGATAATTTTTGCTCTTAAGAATTAAGAAAATTATGTCGAGCAAAAATAAAACTACTCAAAAACGCGAATGTGGTAGATTTCAGACCTTGTGTGGTAAATATGGTAGATGCTCAAAAAAGTGGCAGATCTACCACAATGTGGTAGATGTCCAATCACTGAACTGCGGGCCTTATTTACTCTCTTATTTGTCCTCTCAGTTGCCAGAGAACCGAGTACGGGATCAATTTCCAGTAAAATCTGGGAAATTCTGGTAAAAAATGGTAAGTTCGGACTCAAACGGGATCACAACTAATATTTTCATCTTCAAAAGAATCTGGCTTAAGTAACTGTAATCTATTCAAAACGTCTTTAATAATAAATTCCATTAATTTCCTTCGTTCAGTTTCTTTTTATTACGAATTCTCTGCCGATATAAACAATACTAAATAAATATGTACATACATATTTGTAATATAAAATTTCTTAAATACTTAATGAAATTAGTCTTTAATTTGGACGCTGATTTTTACTTCGCATGTGCGAATCATGCAACCAAAGAAAAAACGAATTTATTATTACTCCTAAGAAGTACTAGTTAATTACCTAATAATGAATATAGAATCTAGTATTAATAATAAGTTCCAGTTACAACTTACATAAATAAAATGTATCAATAAATTTGGAAATATGAATAACAAAATTAAATACCAAACTGTTTCAGTTATTTACAATTATTACTCTTGCCATATCGGGTGTACAGGAAGCATTTCATTAGTGTGTAAAAACTGGTTTTATAATTAACTGGCATAGGCTGCTTTCCAAAACGTCAAAATACAAAGCATCAGTCTCTTTTACTTCCAAACCCCAGTAGATTGTAATGTCAAATGTGCGCAACCACGGTTTGATGCTAGTTTCCAACTAGGTTTCGCAAGTTATATGTTTTGTTCTTGTTGTTGTAACAGCACATAAATTCCCCAAAGAGATTTTGGGGAGCGTTGCTGGAGTGACAGTCCTTGGCCAGATATAAATCTGGGTCGTTCCGGTTACGTAGACCCGACTGTCGTTAGATGTTTTCTTCTAGTGCGTTTTAGAAATAAAAGAGACTGATGCTTTGTATTTTGACGTTTTGGAATTAACCCATACTTTCCACATATTTAATTCCTTATACCTTAAAACTGTTATGTTTATTAATTATTCAACTTTACAATTGTGAATGCAGATATGCATTAATAGGAACTAAAATAAAATATTTAATAATCAAAATTAATATAATTAAACGATTGCGACCATACAGCCTAACTAAATTTACTACAAATAACAGTTTGAAAGCAATTTATTGCATTTTAAATTTTAAACAGTCGAAGTAGATTTCTGAGATAAACATTTGTACTTTCGAATATCGAACGACACATTAGCTACAAAAAATATGTGTACTGTTTATCTGAAAACTCGTATTATATGCAAAATGAAACAATTGTTATGTATGTACAATAAGCAGAAATAATATTAAAGACTGAGCTGAGCTTCACAACAAAAAAATAGCCCTGCTTAAGAGTTCAAATCAAGTTAGATGGTCCATGCCCAGACAATAATGCATATAAATGAACGCTAATTATATTAACTACAAAATTAGGCATATAAATATAAGTTGTAATTCTTGTACATATGTTAGTATGTAGACAGTTTACAAATAAGATCAGTATTTGAGAATTGTCAGCATTTAATCAAATATTCAAAGGATACTTACAATTTAAAAATATATTTGAGGGCGTTATTTTGCTCACTAGTGTGAGCGTTTTAAGTGGCAGTGACTAATTATTGCACTAGAAGCGATTTGACAGTTCGCATCCAAAAAAAAATGGAGAGAGCAAGTGCCTAGATAGATAAACAATTTTGAATAAATTATCCCACCACAATACACTCACACCAGGAAAACAAAATAAATAAACGCACGCAAATGTGTTGCGGAGTGCTAAGTATTTTAGTGTTTAATTGAATATGTACTACTAAATCAAATAAAAATAATTTGACATTTCGAAGAATATGTATGTATATAACTATAGTATATAAGAAATTGAATATCGTCACCTGAAATGCAAGAAGACATAACAAACATCGTCGCTGAAATTCAAAATGTCGTAGCTAATAAAAAATCCAAAATTCAGTTTTTGATAAATATGATGGATTTCATCGAATTAAAACTCCATCATTTAATAAAAAAAAAAATTTAAGTCACGACTTTTTCCATTTCAGTTACGATGTTGTTACGTCTTTTTCCATTTCAGGTGACGATGTGCTCTAATAGAAAAAAATCTAATATAATTCACCATTTAAAGTTTCACTATCTAATTCAAAGTATTTCAGGGAAGTCCGGCCTTATTGGTATTTAATGTGCATCTCCATTGCCCTCGTTTTCCGTTGTTGAGTTTATTTTAATATCCCCATTTGGTTTTTCACCATTCAGTCCAGTGTCCACTACGGTTTTCCCCTCGATATTCGACTGAAAATTCTTAGAGCGACCATTCTGAAGACGCGTAGGATTTGCAGGCGATAAATGTCCATTTAACTGCAATGGCTTAACAGCGTTTACGAGTCTTTCACATTCCTCAGCAGATATATCCTCGTCAGATGAGGCATCGGAAAGCTGGCGTGGCGATAGACGACAGCCACGCGCCAAATAGCTGGTTAAACGCTTCTTCGACGCCAATATTAAGCCAAGGAATGGTGGAGAGGGTTTAAGTGGCCGTGACAAGTATTCTGGATGATACTGTGTAGCAACGAAATATGGATGATCACGCAGCTCAACAATCTCCATACGTCTTTTCTCGTCATCATAGCCCACAAAGCGCATGCCGTGTTCCTCCAATGTGGACACATACTTAGGATTTACTTCATACCGATGGCGGTGTCGTTCATCGACTGTTTTCGGGTTTCCGTAAAGCATTTTGATAACGCTATTCTCATCAGAGAAAATGGTTGTACGTCTACCTAGACGCATAGTTCCACCCATTTGGCCAGTGTGATGCTCTGGCATATCAATTACTAGCGGATTACCGGTTTTCGGATCAATTTCTGTAGTATTAGCATCCTTTAGACCGAGCACATTGCGTGCGAATTCAATAACGGCTGCTTGGAGGCCTAGGCAAATACCTAGCATTGGCTTTTGTTTTTCACGGCACCAATTGCATGCAACAATTTTTCCTTCCATGCCACGCGAACCAAATCCACCTGGCACCACAACACCATCACTATCACAAAGTTGCATCCAAGCCTCATGGTATTTGGTAGGGTCTTTGTCCCGCGTCCCACTCTCCAGGTGGCAAGCCTCAATGAACTTTAAATTCAATTTAAAACCCGCAGCTAGAGATGCATGTTGAAGTGCCTTCACCACTGATGCATAGGAGTCTTCCAGGCGTGTATATTTACCGACTATGGCAATGTTCACTTCTTCACGGAGAGTCTCGGAGCGGCGTGCCAGGTCTTTCCATTGCTGTAAGCATCTGGAAGGAAACCAAAATTAAAAGTTGTCTCTAGTGATAAGATTAGCAGTAGTATGGCCTATGAAAAATAGTAAAAGTGTTAATTTTTTGGTATTAGTGGCCTAATAACAATTACATATACATATGTGACCTGGTCTACGGAGAGGGGGCTTAGGTGTCAAAAAATCAATTTTCACTTTTTGGTTGATTCGGATGGAAGATGAGATGCTTTTTCACGTGGTGAAAAGCAGAAAATCCTAACTTGCTTAGAAGTGTACTAAAAATAATAATAATATTAATAATAATAATATTAATAATAATAATATTAATAATAATAATATTAATAATAATAATATTAATAATAATAATATTAATAATAATAATAATAAAACTATAATAATATTCCGACCAACAACACTTACTGGACCAACAACAACACTTACTGGACCAACAACAACACTTACTGGACCAACAACAACACTTACTGGACGTCCGGCGCGGAGAACAATTAACGAGATAATGAGAAACTGACGAAACGAGTTGCTTACTTTTAACAGCTTTTTCACAGAAAACTAGTTTTCGCACGTAAGCTCCCTTTTCGTAGACCAGGTCACATATACAAAATTCTATTAAGCTTGAGGTAGCTTTTAACGAAAGATGCTGGTAGGAGTTATAGCTGCCATTTCGAAGATCACATTTCATCATTTCTGACGACAGTCGGGTCGACACAGATTTATATCAGGCCAAGGACTGTCACTTCAGCATCGCTCTCCAAAAACTCTGGGGAATATGTATGCTGTTACAAACACAACATCGGACTTCTTCATCGACTTCGCTGGGACTTGAACCAGCAACTCCGGTATAGAAAGCCAGTGGTCTACCAACTGAGCTAAGTTCGCCATGTAAACTGCTTTTGCGTTTTCCACTTTTTCATTTGTCAGCCCAACTACAATCAAGGACAAAGATTTCTGTGCTATTTAGTAAGCTGACCAACCGTCCTCCTTTGAGAAGGATTGTCTCCTTAAACGTGATTCGCCCTCCTCAAAAATTTTGTCCTTCTCTGTCCTCCTTTTCGAGTTTTATAGCAGTGATGAAATTTTCAAAAAATTTCGTTCAAAATATTATTATTTCCTAATCGTACACAATCATTGTATTTAAAAAGGCGTTTACACTGTTCAACTTTCAGTTAAATTATGTAAACTTTTGATTCAACTAATCGCCGGTGTAAGTTGAACCAAAGATAGTAGATAACAAGAACGGACAACTCGTTATAATTGTAGCGAAAGTGCGCAACAGGGTGTGCCTCCTCTTTTGCCCTAGTGCGTTTTCTGATTGGATGAAAAGAGAAGGCACGCCCCTGTTGCGCACTTTCGCCACAATTATAACGAGTTGTCCCTTCTTGTTATCTACGTTCTTTGGTTGCACAGTGTAAACGCCTTTTAGCCGTAATCGATAATATTTTAAGCTGAAATTAGTCAAGAACGTAAACCTACCGGTACGTAAACCCGAGTCAGCTGACACGATCTGTCCAAAGCGTCATGTAAATGAAAACTCAACACCGCAGAATTTTTCTGTAGTTGTAGCCTGTAGCGCAGAAATCTGCGGAATTTAGATTTTTCCGTGTCAGCTGTTTCCTTCCTTCTACAGATAGGTGCCACTTCGCCAGTTTTGCAGATGGTAAAAAAGTTATAATTTCCTATTCAAAATACGTTTAAAATATTTGAAATTTACTATTGAATAAGGTTTTTTGTTGAAAGCTACGATCTACTATAACACGAAAAATTGTAGTTGAAAAGGCAAGTTAATGAAAAGGCATTGATGAGTGGCAACACTGTAGTAAGCAACACTGAGGGCTCCAGTAATGGACAAAATTCTGCAGACTGTTTTCAGCTTTACCCTTTACAACACTGAAAGACTAGCTAACGACGCGTCTCCACAGGCGAAAATTATTGCCTACCATATGTAATTTTGTTTGCCAGATATGTGTAAGTTTTATCGGTGGCAATATTTGTGTATGAGGATTTTTTATCTCGATAAAAGATTTTGTAAGATGACTTAAAATAAGCATGTTCGTCTGCTTAACAAATTTTAGAAAATGTGTAATTTCACATCCAAGTACATAATCAAAAATGGTTTTCCCCTTAAAAAACTAATTAGTGATTTGGGTACGTAAAGGTACTAACGTGGAGCGCAAAACATTTTGCTTGCATAGTCTTCATAGTGTACACAATTGAAGTGTTCTCTTTTTACCTGTGCTCGATTTTATGAGAGCGCCGAAATTACTGTTCTCTTTCATCACAAGCACACTACAACATTGCTTTACTGGCCGTCTCCAGAGGATAAAATTTATTGCTGTCCAGCTGTCATTTTGGATGCTAAATATAAGTTATGTCAGTGGCGATAACAAATATCTTAATAGAAAACAGGGCTCGAATCGTAACATCCGTTCACGGATTGAAAATGATACGAAAGAAAATTACGAGATACGTCAAGCAGTATAAGGTGAATGGGACAAAGAGTACGTTCACCTATGTCATAATCCGAAAAATGTGTTTTTCCATGACGAGAAGTACGATATTGTATGTGACGATTCGAACCCAGCTCAATTTTTGCTTTGATATTAAAATATCAATAATGTTGCCACCAAGAAGTTTTCGTGCAAATGAAAATGTAGCTGTCAAACTACTAAATTGCCGGCAATAGATAGTAAGATATAAGCCCTGATATATATTGCTCTTGAAGAGCAATGAACGGTCTCCATTGGATATTTATATTCTAACATATGTATCAAGATACTTATAAACTTTATCCTGTGGAGAGCGGCAGTTACCGGCGAATCAACACGATTTTGTATTGCAGTGGCGAAGCAAATTTCACTATTTCATTTCAATTTACAATAGTGTCAACTGAAATTAAATGGTTTACATAGTGTAATAACATGTGTATGTGTTCTTCCGTAATTTATTCAGTGTTTTGCAAAAACAAAGAATAATAATTTTTTGTGGCGGGCTGTAGGCAGTGTTGCCAGAGAAAATTTCGTTTGGAGCTAAAACGGTCGAAAAAAGGAGCTAAAAAGAGCTAAAATGAAGAGCTACATATTTTTGTTAAGGTTGAGCATTTATTGACGTAAGGTTGTTTTACATTTTCGGCAATTTTAATAAAAACAACGAATTTTATAAGTTTAAGTGCTGAAAAAATCTTTGAAAACCAAAATAAGGTGCATATATTTCGAATTAGTTGCTATGGCAATTATAACAGTGAACTAAAAATACTTTGCAAACTGTTAGTCTGTGATTTCAGATATTTGAATGGAATAATTTTTTCGCTAAATCTTTCTGGAAAGTAAAATGGCTCCCCTCAAAGGTAAAATTAGTAAGGTAAAACAAAATCCGCGCTATCAGAAAAAGGATTTTCTTTTAATTTGTTTTTGAATTTTTCAACCTAGATCCAAGAGATTATGGTGGATACACTGCATCTCGAAATTTTCCATTTTATCAACGCTTAAGTTTTGGCTTATATATACCAAATACAACTAAAACTTTCTGGAGCTAAAAAAGCGCTACATAAATTTGAAAAGAGCTAGGAGCTAAAACCCGATTTTCGGAGCTAAATAGAAAAATAAAGAGCTAAATAGAAAAATAAAGAGCTAAATCTAGCTCCAGAAGCACCAAAATGGCAACACTGGCTGTAGGTGTGTATTTGATATCTTTTTCGCACTTTGGCTTGCGTGTATTTTTTGTTATTGTATTTGTGCTTTTGCATGTGTGTATTGCCAAAGAACGTAGATAACAAGAAGGGACAACTCAAAAAACGCACTAGGGCAAAAGAGAAGGCACGCCCCTGTTGCGCACTTTCGCTACAATTATAACGAGTTGTCCCTTCTTGTTATCTACGTTCATTAGTATTGCGGCGGTTGCTAGCGGAAATGACACTGCGTACACTATAAAGTGTACAGTATTTTCAATGTTTTTATTGAGCTTTGTACCACGATTATTTTTATTAGGAAAAATTTAAAAAGCAACAAAGTCTAAGCGGTAGAAGTTATAGCAGTTATTTCGGAGATCACCACATCTCCTCATCAGACTTTTTTTCTAGACTTCAGCAGGGATCGAACCTGCGTAATCGATGTGCAAAGTCAGAAGCGTTAACCACTGAGCTATGTACACCCCGAAAACTCTTGTTGCTAATTCATTTTCCTGATTCAACCAACTACTATCAAGTGCAGCTGATTTGCCACTATTTAAACTTTGACAACAACAACCACGCTGATGCATGGAGATGATTTTGCACACATCATATAACCTTGCTTTTAAAAATGGTCTGCTACAAATGAAGTACACAAAAGGGCAAAAGAAGAAAAGAAAACTGCGGTGTAAAGGCTTTTTCGAGAAAAGCTGGGATTAATCATAGATAAGCCACGGCAAGTAAGTGGCAACTCGAATGATGGAAATACAGCAAGAAGATTTTGTTCGAATGTCACTTGTTCTGCTGAAATAACTGGAGTTGATGAAGTGCTGATACACAGACTGTATATCATTATACAAACTTTATCTTCGGGTGTTATGACTGATGCTGAAAAGTTTGGCGTTTATGCATTGGAAACAGCAAGAATATGGCCCTTATTATGAGCTGCATTCGATTTTCGATCTTCGCTGGCTATCGAAGATCGAAAGTGAAATTCGTATTATGAGCTATGCAAGCGTGTCGAAATTTTCGTTGAGTATCGAATTTTCTGTCGAACAGAATTTTGCTTTCGATGGTGTAGCGAAGTGTTAGAAAATTGTGAAAAATTTATGATTTTGTATATGTTTTCTTACATTTTGGCGGCTAGACACTAATTTTAAACAATTTTTATTAATTTCATGCAGTTCTAACATCGTGAATACTAAACACAAGCTCGAAAGGCTGGTTTTACTTGGGAAAGAAAATCCCAATACTCTGTTGGCACGATCTCTGAGAACGAAATCGTAGCGCTGTTGATAGTTTTAAAATATTTTAAATAGATTTGGCTCACAAACGCC